CAATCACTGGAAACATCACGTTTGTTCGTCTTTCAAACTATATAGAGCTCTCTTCGTTGATCATTTTGGTAAAAGTAAATTTCTAATTGAATCAATAAATAACAATGTTAGGGCTAAAATGCTGACAATTTCAAACTGTTATGGCGGATAGATCTAATATGTTTATGAGTATTTTGACCCAGGCATTGTTATTTATTGATCAAATTAGAAATTTACTTTTACCAAAATGATCAACGAAGAGAGCTCTATATAGTTTGAAAGACGAACAAACGTGATGTTTCCAGTGATTGAGTACCCGTGGAAATGCCTAATTATGTATCAAAAATTGGAAAGTTTCCGTAATTCTATAACCCATTGTTGTATTATGAGTGGCCAACTATACTCATAGATCCCATTTTTCACGGGCTTTCATTTGGTATAAAATTCATCATATCTCCTATTTGGAATTATAGCGTTACCCCCCTTGAAAAATATTTTTTCCAATCCTGTACTTCCATGGAAGAAGATTCATTTTTCTCAAAAACTAAATCAAAAATGAAAAATCGTGCTCTCTCACATCGTTGAACGCAATTTTCTCTTCAGTTTAATACCTCCACGAGTTTAACACCATGTTAAATGGTCGAGAACTCTGAGACCCTCTAACAAAAAATAATTTTAAAATTTATGTCGAGAAAATTGGGAAATCATTTTTAATGTTCAAAATCAAGTTTTTGCTCCTCGAAATGTTCTCCAACAACATTCATACGCAGAATACGGAAGTATATTTGACGCATATTTGCTGATTTTTGCCAGTTATATTCTCTGTGTTGCAGACGTAAAGAAGAATTTTAAAGACTTTAATAACTGAGATTCAAAGACCATTCTTCATATTAGAAATAGAAAACTTGAGTTATCCAATCATGGATGAATCTAAAAAAACCATCAGTCTCTACCAAAAATTGGAATTTCTAACAGGTGGGAGCTCAATTCAAACGCATAATTATGAGATCCATCCTTGAAAAAAATTAATAACTTAGTATTAATAAAATATATTTAGAAAAAATACGATCATCTACAGAATGACCTTTTGTTTTTCTTTATTTATGGGTTTTATTATAAAATTCGCTTTTGAAATCATTAAAGAAAAAAAGCTGAAAATTTGTTGTATATGGTAACTGATGATCATACATAGTGAGTGTCATAAATAGAACTACGACAAAAAAATTGAAATATCTCCGCTTCGATTTGCTCGAATGGACTAACTTTTTTGTTAGTATTAGAAGTTTATTTAAAGTATTTTTCGTACCAATAACGAAAACAAATACTACTGGAAAAATTTTTATTTTTGGCTTCAATGGAGAGATTTTATATATTGTCAAATAAGAAAAATACATGTAAAGCGTTTCATAGATAGTTTTCAATTGTCATCTAAGAGAATAATAATACAATATAGTATCATTTATAAAGTCCATTTTTAAGTTCATATTATTATTCTTTTAGATGACTAGATCTGTGACAGTTCCCGATCGATAAACTAAACTACGATCACTCATCCAGATATTTTCAATAGAACTCAACTATTCAAATAGACCAGTTCTAGACTGGTGACAGCACCGACTAATATGAAACTGTTCTTTTGAGGAACGAGATTATAATAACCAGTTCCTTTTTTTTGACAACGAGAACAATTATTGAATAAAATTGCTATATTACTATTATTAGTAGATTTAGTTCATATGAAAAGAATTAGTCACTTGACATGATTCTCAAAAAGAAATCATTTTTTATATAACTGTGATCTGTCACAGGTCTACTCTTTAAAAAAAATTGCACTATCAATTTATAATATTTATTTCTTGTACTGACATTTGTGTCAAATAATCAGTGTGAACTTATGTTTATGCTGACACTTTAGTTTATGATAATTAATGTCAAATATATGTATGATGCATATAATCACAAGCATTTTATTCTATTTTATATGATTTATATATAACAGTATCGGTGTGATATTTTTTCAGAAAACATTTATCAAAAATAATGAATAAAAAACAGAAAGATATTAGTACATATCTTGTATTAAAAAAGAAAACTAAGAGTATTGTAGATAAAAATGTCTCACAACAATTAATAGTAGATAATTTTTATAATTCTAATAACAAAAATGAACTCACAAATTGATAATAACAAAGAAGTTTCAGTTGCTATTTGTTCATTGTCTGTTAGTCAAAATTCTACCATCATTATTAATATATATCTAAAGGATGACGATATTGGATTGTACATTTCAAATTACCAAACTATGATGGGTTTTTCATTATTTAATCGATTGTTAACGGAACCATGGATTCCACTAGCAAATTATATTTTTCTGAAAAGATGAACAAAATGAAAAAATTCGATCAACGTGTCAACACTCACGGCTAACATATTATTCAGAACTGGATCAAGAAATTTATTGGCAGTAACGGGTGGCCCAAAATAAAATGGCCACTTTGTCCTGTGTTTTTTAGCCACTTTCCAGTGGTCCAAGGGGTTGGTTCTAGGCTCATTCAATAGAGAATTTTCTGCCCTACAAAACCCATCATTTTCTTTAATTACATATTATTTCATTATTTTAAAAAATGGTGCACAATCAGCACAGGTAAAAATTGAAACTGCGGTTTCACATCAAAATTTTGGTGACCTTTCGGTTTTTGTGTAGCTTTTCAAGAAATGATGTTGTGATTGAGAGAAGAAGGTACTATAAAATGTTCAGCGGATTGAGTGCTATCATCCAGATTACGCTGATTCTGCGTTTCGTCATCCAAAATGTGAAATCTTCGGAACACAAGTTAATTACCGCTTTCGGTCAACATGAGATTTTTAAAAAACAGTGAAAGTACTATTCAAACGACTCAGTGTAAGTGTGCAATATAGAGAGTTTTGTAAAGCAGAAAATTTTCTACCTTCTGCACTTAGAACGAAATCTTCGAACCCACTGGATATGGACAAAAATAAGTATATGAATGAAATCCATCATTTTAGGACCATCCGCTGTTAGTAACAAATTGTTAGGACAAATTTTATTTCTCAACGCAGATTAATCACATGAAGACGAATGCTTTACGCAATGTACCTGTGGTGAATAAGTAACAGAAGAATTATTAAATAATCAATTAGGTCGGGCACAAAAGAAATTATAACCTGTCACTCCCGTCGCAGTTTCAATTTTTATCTGTGCTTATTGTGCACCATTTTTTAAAATAATGAAATAATATGTAATTAAAGAAAATGATGAGTTTTGTAGAGCAGAAAATTCTCTATTGAATGAGCCTAGAACCAACTCCTTGAACCACTGGAAAGTGCCTCAAAAACACAGGACAAAAGTGGCCATTTTATTTTGGACCACCTGTTATTATGTTTTATTTTCAAGAAAAGGAAGAAACCAGTTTCTTGATCAATTTGTTAATAGAGACCGTTAAGATAATCGAAATAAATGCGAAAACTTCGGATTTAAATCCGAGAGTTATGTGTACTTCAAAAAGTGAATGAGACAGATGAGTCATTCTAGAATGTGTGGACATCAAAATTATCCTGGCAAACCTTTTCTATAAAATACTTGATTTCTATTGGCTACTCTCAACCAATAGGATTTGGGGATGAATAGAGCTCAGATTTGAACTCTTCACCTTGATTTACCCTAAGAAAGTCGTTTTTCCTATAACTTGATTTCTATTGGTCCCTGCTCAACCAATGGTATTTCAAGGCGAATGGATGACAGATTCGAGTTCTCCACCTCAAAAAACCTCGAAGTATCATGTCCGTGATCGGAAGGTAGAGCTCCATTTTCGGATCCACTAGAGTGTGTACGAAAACAGAACCTATTTCCGTCTGATTATCTTGGCAATAGGTGAGTTAGTCTTCGTGTTTCTTTATGTTTTATATACCATTTTGTAGTTCGTAAAATTCTCTATCGAATGGTATATAATAGTTGGGGTTTTGTTTGAGTATGATAGGAAAAGTTTTTTACGAAAGCGGGGATGGGTCGATTTTCGCATAGGAAGCCATAGGAAAAAATGAGTATTTTTGCAATAACTCAGGAACGGTTCGGCCAATCATGCTCATCTTCGAACTCGACCGAGACATTGTTAAGACTGAACTGTGTAGAAAATTTCATCGCGATTGAACTCTTCTTTCAAAAGTTATCGTGTAAACGGCCGGCCGGCCGGCCGGACACACTGACCGATTCTAGATTGTACTCACTTTTTGAGTACACAAAAAGAGTATTGATTATTTACCCAATGATGATAAATGTAAAATATCAGTGTCAGTAGTTACTTACTACCAAGTATTATTGGGCTACTCTCAGTATTCATAAGAACATCGTTCAACAACTCGATATGGAAAATATTATTGATGAATTTGCTAAATCAAAACATCGGTTAACTTTTATGGATAAAGTCAATTAAGTCTTTTGTGAATTATAGATTTTCTTGTTTTCGATTTTTTACTCTAAATAATAGTTATCAAACATGAATAAAGGTGAATATTAATAATTAGTCTTATATCTATCTTACATAAGCACAAGTTTAATAAAAACTAGATGAAAAACATTTAATCTCTACATCCAGCCGAAAAACTGTGAAAAATGTCTGCTTCACAGTATTATTTGTGTTCATTATCCGTATGAAAAAAAAAACAGCTTTAACTAAATTTCTACTAATAAGCAAAACATTACTTCATTCGAGCGAACTGAGGCAAAGATATTTAATTTTTTTTATCGTCATTTTATTGATTGTCCACCCTGTATATATGCATGAATAAACAATATGTTAATATAATCATTAAAAGAAAAAAAACAGAAAATTTATAATTTTTCAAACGAGATTAATACATTCTGTTTATTTTTCAATTAATCAGCAGTTGATTTTGGTAATTATAATTCAACTGCTGTATGATCTTGTTTCAGTATTTTCTTCACATAATGGTCTTTTTGGATGGTCAACACCATATTCTGTGTGCATTTCACTTAAATATGTTCCTAATCCATCAAGTAAAGGTTGATAATTGTCAAAAAAGAAAGCATTTATTTGAGCACCCAAAATGATTATTATAGCAAAATAGTAAAAAAATAGAAGAAGAATAACAATAAAACCAAGTTGACCTTTTATGAACATAATAAGATATTTATCTTTAAAAAAAAAAGGATTTTATATGAATAACTTACCTGTATAATTTCCCATAAATGCTCGTACATACAATGGAAATAAAATGATAAATATTTCAAGTGTAGAAGCAGCAATTAATGCTCCACACCATGTAGCTTTAAATGACATTGTTCTATTTGGAATATATAAATATATAAGTTCAAGTAAAATAAATGCGAAAAGTAATGAAAATATAATTCCAGCAACAAATGTTCCAAAACGACTACCATTACCTAGTATTATACTCATCAATATAGATGGAGCAGAACTAAATGCAAGCATTAGTGGAATAATTATAATGAAAACAAAAACTGCTGCAAAAGCTAACACATTTTCATGAATAAATGTTCGTTGTGGTACTCGATATATAATAGTCATACATTTATCAATAGTAACAAATAATCGAGATGAACCAAACAATGCAAATATTAAACCAATAGCGAAAATTATACCAGCTTCTTTTGACAATTGATTAAAAGCCAAATCCACTACCTTTAAAAAAAAAATAATTAAAATTTTTTCTTGAAAGTTTTTCAAATAGATGTGTTACTTGTTTGATACCGTTATTTGTAGTATTCTCGATTGAAAATGAACTAATGATTTTATCTTTAATTTCTTGTTGTGCATCAGGATTATTTCTTAAAACTAAACCTAATATTCCAAATAATGCTACAGCCATGGGAAGAAGAGAAATTAATAAATGATATGCAAGCATTGATGCAAAATTCAATGACCAATCATTAAGAAATTTTTTTAGAAAAACACGAGCTGGTTTTGCTTTTTGTTGACCATGTTCAACAATAGTTGATGATTTTATTGTGTTTATCATTGGTTTTATTTTATTTCTAGACGTTTAATTAACTAAATAATAAATTTTACCTAAACAAATGATAATAAATTATTTGAAGAAAATTTTGTTACTTTTTACAAACCAAATATCAGAAGAATATTGATGATGAGATATAACAAAAAAGTAAGAGAAAACTAAATGCATGAAAATAAAAACGATGCAGTGTACGTCTAACACAGAATACGAACATAGAAGGACGAAGAATATTAAGAAACGAAAAAAAAATATATACGTGATTCATAATATGTATTATAATTGGGACAGCTGCTGTTATATATTGTATACGACACATTATTTTTAACGACTAAATGATCGGTATAGGCGAACATATATAAAGAAAAATTGACTTGCATAGTTTTGAGAGAAAGAAAGAAAAAAACAAATAATAAACTATTTAGTTAAAAATAATAAAATTGCAACACATGATATATACATTCAGATCTCATTGTTTTCTTTTTTTCAATTATATTTTAATGTGTTTTTTTTATTTTGTTCACATGATTTGAAGTTCATTTTTATAAACTGACTTCCTTAATAGTGGAAAAAAGGGATATTACTAAAAGAAGCTTCAATTTACAATATATATATATAATATAATATCAGTTGTCTTAATGTTTTGAGACTATTGTCGATCGATTCGATATATAAAATACTTTTATGTGTTTAACACTATATTAAATTTATACTTGCTTAATTCATTATAAATATTCTATAATAAATAAGGGTTATTGATTTGCATTACTTTTCTTGCATTTTTTCGTCAGATATGACAAACAAAACTAAAGTACAAGTTTTTATAACAAGAGGTTAAATTCAATCAAAAGTTATAGAAAAAAAAATACTGTGAATTACGATTTAATTCTTTTTGAAAGAATCAATTTTTTTTCTTGATTATTCAAGACTGTCCAACTATAAAAATTATTTTAAATCGTTCGAGTTTTTTTGTTTTTTTTTGCAAGAAAATGTTCTTATTGATGTACTATTTTAAAATTTTTTGTAACAATACAAAAATTAGAATCTATTTGTACTAGAAATTCATAGAATTTCTAAGTAGCCATGAGTTTCTCAAAGACTTGATAGAATAATGATTGTTCAAAATTGAAACTTTCTTTTTTAACAGTCAACATAAAAATACTTTAACCAGATGGTCAGAAAAAACATGACTCATGTTATTTTAAAACCCAATGATTATTTTCTTTTTCTGTAATTAAAGTGAATAGTTCTTCGAAGTTTTTAAAGATTTTAGTAGCGTTTCACATCAGAGAATGAAATTGTTATCTTCATTATTGTGACGTCTTAATCCCACTTATATTTTATTTTTATAACTATAACTATTCCTATGACAACAAAGTAACGTTGCATATAGTACGATAATAAGAAGGAAATATCCACATGATGGAAAATTTTCTAATTAAATGATGAACAAGAAAGGAGAAATCTATAAAGCAAGTCAGAATAATGAAGAGTAGAAGAAAAGGAAAATCCAACAGACATATATGACAGAAAGGAAAGATACCTGTCGATACAAGGGGAAGAAGAACAAGAACAGAAAAGAAAACAGCACAGAACGAAAGAAAATAGAACGTATAAAATCACCTAGATAATTACTCTTATGAACTATATCTGAATAAGATACTCGGCATAACAATTATCGTCTATATTATCAAATAGTTTAAAATCGAATTCAGTTGAACAATCTTTGAATCCTGTCATATGGTTAGCAATAATATTCATTCTCAGGTCAATAATTCCAGCGTTCTCAAATCTGTAAATCTTCAGTAGGCTCTCGCTGGAACATGGACGTTTCCGATCGAAGGATTTGAGAAAAAAGGTAGTAACTTGGAAGTAAAAATCCAATGATAGGATTTTGTGACTGAATTTTTCTAACTGGAGTTGTAATCAATCTTAACTGGACAGAGATGCAGCAGTAAACCTAGAACAGTAATGCTCCATTTGCTTCGGGTGAGTAGTGGCAGCTGGCCTCCTTAGCAATACAACCAGCAAATATTAATTTTTCTAAAACAAATCAGACCTTTTTCTTTCTATTTATTTGATTTTATAAGAATCTAACAAGATTTTGTAGATAAATTATTTTATTCGGAAACAAAAATGGACCAAAATTACAAGGAAACTAGAGAAACATTATATTTACTGCCGTAAAAATCTCTAACGACCGTACACTTCACCGTCTATGGTATGGACAAATACGGTCATATTACTGCCCGTATTAAAACGGGGCAATACGGTGCCCTAACGGGCCGTATTTTCATCGTAAACGACGCCATTACATCCTCCGTTTTAATCGACCTAGGTTATTGTAAAGAATATGAGTGCACCATATTTAATGACATCATTTTAATGATTATTTGCTATTGGATAATTTATTAACTAAAAGAAAATGCTTAAAGTCAATAAAAATTATCAAGCAAAATGCCTTTTTACTTCCTTTTATTTAATATCTGAGTCTGTTTATTTTTATTTTTCTGAATAACTTTCATAAACAGCACATGATGCAGATCTGATAGTACGTTCATAATTTTTGAAGAACTATTAATGATATATTCGTTTGAGTGAATGTGTTTTCAAAATCATCATTCTAATAGCAGAGAATTTTTTCTCGTTTAATATGTATGCGCAGAACTCATCAAAAATATACTAGTCAGAGGTCCAAATAGGCCTGTCTGTGTATTTTTTTCACGTCAATATTATGATAAAAATACCATAGAAAGAAGTAATAATCTTCATAAAAAGTCGTATTGGTCACTGAATTCAATCCACATCGCTACATTGAAAAGTCTCTAATTGAAAAGTACATGAGAATTGTCAGGTTTCCAATTAAACAAAGGTATCATGCTTCTTTATAATTGAGAGCATGTGAAACTAAGGGTAGAACAAAGACTGTTCATTTCCAAAGATACTTCTAGTTAGCCGGAGTATAAAAAGCATAGTTTTCAGTTCACTGGAAAAACGTTTCCTCGAAAGAACGATCGATTTCTAGTCAAAACCGCTCGGCGAAAATTGGCATCGTTCTGAATAAGCAAGTAACTTCATTAAAGAGACAACTCCAATGCCTACCTGTAAAAACTGAGGACACACTTTCATATAAAAATTCATGTAAGAGTTAGAAAAGATCCATTGTAAATGACTAAAATCATTATTCTTTTATCGATTGTCAATTGGTAGCGAATCGATTACAATAAAAGCAAATCAAAGTCAATTCATTATCGATTCCTAATTGATTAAAAATGTATGATGTTACTGAACCTAGAATCAACTTTTTGCATCACTTCTTTTATAAAGACTAGATTTGCATTCGTCACAGCATCAAAAAATTTAATTTGATATATGCTTATACTTTTGTCACCGCTTAGCAAAAAGTTAAGGAATGATACATCGTGCTTTAGAATGCTGGTAGCTTCGGAGACCTTGAATATTTTTTCGTGTAGCTTTCTCTTATCATTCTTTGTAATAAAACATTATATAGAATGTTTAAAGAGAATTTTACGGTATATATCTTTCAACATGAAGTTAGATGACAATTAATAACAGCATATAAATAGTAAAATTTCGCACAAAAAGCTATTTATATCTTCTGGACCATCCGATTTTTAATTTTCTAAGGCCTTGTATAAGTAAAAGTGAAAGTAATTATGATTGTCTGTATCTAAAATATAGGCTATCCTTCAACTGAATAAAAAAACGCGCGACGCAGTAGGAATGTGTAAATAATATCAACTTCGAACTCTATCCTTTTTCAGAGTTGGTGATGTCTGTGGGTATTGACAATTTCACAGGTACCCACATATGTTCAAAAGTTTCATTACTGATTAAGAGTTTACGAACTGAATATTGGTGATACGTAGACAAAATAAAAACAATACTGAGATAGTTAACTTGTGGAAGATATCTGATTTTTGTTCAAAAATATTTTCATTGAATTTCTTATGCCAGATCACAATGTCACTCAAAGTCTCGGAATCAAGAAAGAAACAGAATTCAATCAGTAGTAAATCTGCAACAGAAAAAAGGATTTAGAATCATTTAATTTAACTGAAATTGAGAAATATGACAAGTAGATAATGATAATTATGAAAATTTTTGCTCATCTTCTCTTCAGAATGATAAGAGTATTGATCTCCTATAAGTATCTTTAATAGTCATTCCGCAGTATTTGTTTGATTCACCGTGCTTAAATGTGATTTTTTGAAAACTAATGAAGGTTGTATCTATTTGCTAACCAAGTCATGAAATTCTCAGATAAAATTTCGATTTCGAAGAAAAAGTAGACAGGCCAGGCGGCCTGTCTGACCTGTCTTAGGTGTCAGCCTGGCCTGCGTTTGACAGGCGCAGGCCTCGTGGCCTGTTTGGACCTCTGATACCAGTACCCAGGTCGAACATTACTGTGCCCGTAAACGGCCGTACACAGTCGTTTACGATGACGTGAACGGCCGTATCCGTCGAAATTACGACCGTATACGGGCCGTAAATAACCCGTTTGGTATG